GAGCCGCATGATCGAGGACGCTCGGACCGAGGTAGAAGGTCGAGCTCGGTTCGGGGAGGGTGCCTCAGTGGTCTTCGAGTCTGTTGGAGCGTTCTTGTGCACCCCGGGGAGGGTACCCTTCAATGTTCTGTGCGTTTTGGCCTGCGAGGGCCTTGTGTTCTTGAGGGATGCTCTTCTGGCCTAGGTCCGACCGTATGCTGAATGTGTGTTGATAGCACATTCGCGCCTTGTATCCTCCCAACCGCTTCCGCCCAACACGATGCGTCCGGCCCTTGGACAGAAGAACACCCTTCCAGAACATGAGACCCTCCGCCAGCCAAAGTGAAGAACATTCGAGGGTACCCTCCCCAAGGATGCACGAGAACATGCCACAAGCAGGAAGAACATTAGGGAACCCTTCCCGAACCGACCTGGATCTTGTACTTCGGTCCGACCGTACCAAGCAGGACATCCCCGCGTCGCGAACAAGAACACGACGGGAGGCTGCTGGTCGCTTTCGGCACCCATGGGCCCCTCGATGGTCCCGATGACCTTCTAAAACGGCTCAGGACGAAAAGCCAGTCCCCAAGGAAAGGCCTGGGAGTAGAGGAAGAACGACTGCATAAACATAAACTTGTGACGGTCCGCGCGGATTTGTCGGATCTGAGCTGGATCTGAGCGGGTCTTTCTCACGGGTGTTTCGCCCTAGCCAGACCGTACGGCCGTACGGTAGGTTCATGCGGCGTTGGCGCACCGGCGACGCTGGCGAAGGCGCTCAAACTCGAATTCTGCGACGCGGAAGCACCGCTTGTGGCCCGCGGCGGTCGCGCTGCAGCCAAGGCTTGATGTTCCTGAGGCCATCCCGCGGTGGTTCCTCTGGCCCTCCTCCTGCACCCAAACTCGTGTTTCAGAAGGGGGGAAAGGTACCCATACCGCTACGGTTCCCTCGTCTTTCCCCTGTTTGGGCCCACTGAGAGGCCCTCGTCGCCACCGCTGGACTCGCCTCGAAATCCTGGCCAGAACGCACCCCTGGACAGGTCCGGGGAGTAGCGGTATTGGTACCTTTTGGTCTCCCCAGTTGTGGTGCCAGAAAGAAGGCTTCGTCCCTTCTCTGGCGTTCCTTACTGCAGCAGCCTGACCGTGCTCCTGCAAGAGCTCGGGGCGGCCAGCGCAAGCGCCTGAACGACGCCAGGCGGCCCTACTGTGCTTTCATTGCCTGGCGCAGGGCGTGCTTTACACTTCCATGGGCTCTCTCTCTTTCTCTCCCTCCCGCTCCCTCCCTCTCTCTCTCTCTCTCTCTTTCTCTCCACTGTCTTCCTGCATGCCACTCGTGATTCCGCTGTTCGTAGACCCTTCACGGGAAAGGTGGCGCAGCTCTGTGCGGCAGCGCCAACCAGCATATACACCAAACGACTTCAACTGTTTGCAGAATGCTGACCAGTTCGAGGAATTCACAGAAGCCTCGTAGAACATGCATTTCCCTTTTTGTTGCATCGCCGTCGTTTTGTAGTGAGAGCATGTATGCACGTACATGTATGTAGATTTACGTACATGTAGTGGGAGCCGTCGAATTGCAGATGTACGTACATGCATACACATGTGTTCATACACCCATGCGCGCATGCATTATTTGTGGATGTGGCCAGGGCGCTCGCAGACATAAGTTCGTGGATGCCATACATGTATCGATGTATACCTATACATCTATGTATGCATGAACGCCTTTCGGAGGGCTAGATGTGAAAAGCGGCTGATCCAGCCAGCCAGCCATCGCTGCCTCTGCGGTCGTGGAGTGCATCAGCGCTGGCCCTAGCCAGCCTGCGACCAGGACGAAGGGTTACTTGAATCGAGTGAAGCGAGGTAGGTGGGTGACTTCGATCTGGATGGTGTGCCAGGTAAGGGGCTGCGCACAGAGCAACTCGTTAAACTCTGGGCATGTGCCATCGCCAAAAAGTGCCATGCCAACCAGCGGGGGGGATGAGTAAGGTGAAGGATGACTGCGATTGGGGCTCGATTCCAGGCGACGGAGTAGCAACCTGTCGTTCCTCTCATCTCAGTTGCCGCGTGCTTTGGCTGAACTCGGCCCACCTCCATCACCTTTTGGATGCCCGAGCCTGCGCTTCTGGAGGAGCGCGCCGATGATAGCCAGATTCGGGGCCCTGGAGCCCGGGAGGGGCCCTGAACCCTGGCGTCTCCAGCCTTTCGCCCCCGCGAGCGCTGCCGGTGTCGAACAGGCATGAATTTCTGCTCGCGCGCGTGCTCGCTGTGGACGCGATACGGAGATCGGCCCGCCCTTTCTGTGGTCAAGCTCTGATCGGGCAATGGCGCCGGACGGGCACTCGGCGAGGCCATGTCTGGCGCACATCGGCCGCCTTGCTGGTCCTGGGTGCCACGGTGCCGCAGCAGAGCCGTTCGACGAGGGACAGGGGGTGGGGGGGGGAGCGGGGAAAGACGGGGGGGAATGGAGGGTGACCTAAAGGAGGGGTGAAGAGAAGGGCCTTTTGGGCCCCTTCTCTTCCCCCCCCCCCCTTGAGGCCAGCCCTCAAGTATCACCCGCCCGCAAACTGGGAGACCGCAAAAACCACCCACAAGCTTCTGGATGCCCGCGGACGGTTTCCCAGCTGGCGCCGTGACCCCTCCGAGCCCCCCCTTGGGCGCCGCAGGAGCGTCGCGCTGCGCGCGCGCGGCGAGGGGCCGGGCGCCGGCGTAGAAGTCGCCCCTGGACAACAGCTCCCCCTCGCTCGCCCTGACGCACCCAGCAAACAACGTCGCGTGTTTTAGGAGCGGCGCGTGTGTTATGATATTCCAACCAACTTCTAGCTTTGATCGCCAGAAAAAAATCGAGCACCAAGAAAATACCGAAGCTCAAGGGTTTTCGCCTGTCGGGCCCTGGGGCATACTCGTTCGACACTGTCTCGACACTGTTTCGACACTTTTCCGGGTGCTCGAAATTATATATGGGATGTGGTCCTCAAGTACGATGGGAACAACAAAACTCATTGGAGGAAAAAACACCAGGACCCGACAATTGGCGTTTACTAAACGGTCCTGGGCGTTTACTAAACAGCCCTGCCCTGTTTGATTCCTCCTCTGGGTTCGTTTACTAAACGGCGACTTCGCGTGTCGGGCTGGTTATTCTGGGGGTGGATCTTCTGCCCTCTAACAACGCTTGTGCTATCCGGGCCCACTGTGGAGGGGGGGCGTGGAGAGGGCGGTCCAGCGGGCGCCTTCGCGAGCGTGCGGCGAGAGCGTGCGCGTCGTGGGCCGTGGCGGCGCCGTGCGCGTGCTCGGCGTGCTGTGCATCCCGTCGTGGTCGCAGCAGCGCGTGCTGGCGCCGCGTCGCTCTCGCTCGCCTGCTCGACCCCATCTTTGTCTCATGGCCTGAGCTGGCAGCCAGCACCCATGCAGTGGAGGCCCATGCCAAGAAACACCCTGCTTGCCTCCAGGGTGCTCTGGGTTTCTTGGGTTCCGATGGTTTTGCGACGCAAGCCGTGACGCTCCCACACCACAAATCGATGGACGCCCTGGGGTCTCAGGATTGGGTTTCTTCTGGGAGGTGTCTTGTGGTCGGGCCTCCACTGTACCTCGACGACTCGCAGATTTCTCGGGTGGAATTCCGCCCGGGCTATCATGCGGTGCGAGACATCGGATGGGGTTGTTCGCTCGAGTGGGAGCTTCCCTCAGGGTCGACAACTCGCACCCATACCTACAGCGCCTTTTCCGCCATTCCCTTCCCCAGCCCACCTCCCTATAGGTGTCAGCGTATACTGTTCTTCCATCATTCTCTGTGTGCGCACCGCGGGGCCTAAGGTGGTGACGAGCTGCGCTCGCTGTGCGCGGCGCTCGGGGCCCCGCTGCCAGGCCTGGGCGCCGCGCCCGCGTCGGCCGACGTGCTCTGGGGCCGGAGCTCCAGCAGCTCCCGTCTCCTCCTGCAGCTCATCCCCCCTTTGCTCTTCCTCTTCCACTCGGGGGTCCCCAAACGGTGCGGTGACCACACCGTGCGGTGAGTCGGTGGGGATTCGGGGTCACCGCACGGTTTTGGGACTCGGGTCGTTCTCCGGGGACGTCTCGAGCGACAGGGGCCTCTGGGGTCCCAAGACCGTGCGGTGACGGACCGTGCGGTGAGGTCTTGGGGGATTTCGAGGTCACCGCACGGTCTGTCACCGCACCGTTTCGGGACTCCAAATCCTCCTTGCTTGCTCCTCGCCTCTCCTCTGCCGCGTTTAGGCTGCGGTTCTCGGTGTGTGTTTTAAGAGGGGGGGCGCGGCAAACGCGGGGGTGCGGCAGTCACCCGATCGCCTTTTCGAGCAGTTCCTGCAGTATTGCACTCATGAGCCAATGAACGCATTTTGTTCTCTCGACGGTTTGGAAGCTTGGGCCACTCGACTCGCTGGGGGTAGGCTCAAGCTGGTGAGGCCTCAACAGGATGCCTATTCTGCCGCTCAAACAGATAGAAACATGTGTACAGTAAAAACGCTGATATACGGTCTGCTTTCGGTTCGGAAGGAGCTCGGTGTTCCTTAGGTCATTCCGTGGTTGTTCCTCTAGTCCTCCTCGTGCACCCAGGCTCGTGTGGTGCCAACAAGGGGCTTCGTTCCTTGTTCAGCGTTCCCTGTTGCAGCAGCTTGACTGTATTCACATTGCCAGCCGCCGCTGGTATCGAGTGGACTCTCCGCGGCCAGTCGCTGCATGGCGCAGATGTGTCACACAGCCGAGGCAGACAGTGCTGAGCGACGAAGGGCTTGGCATAACGCCACGCCCTCTCGGTCGCCAGCCGCGCTTCGGCCCGGACGGACTTGAAGCGGACGGGCCAGGGTGGAGTTTTGTTGCCGCAGCGCGGGCGAGCTCGCTCCGCGGGGGGCGGCCGCGGAGAGGCGACAAGAACTAGGCGGGACGCCAGGCAGAGTTCACCCGCATCTGGCGCGTGCGATCTGCTAGCGGGTCCGTGGCCATGTTGGCTCCAGCGCCGAGCCGCCCACGGCCGCCTGCGGCCTGCCCCATCGGCGCGCGAGGCGCAGCCAATGGAGGCGCGGTGCCGCCTCAGCTGCGCCTGCTGCGGTGGGGCCGTGGAGGCCGGGGAGCTGTCGTGGCCTGGCGGCCCCGCGGGAAGCCCCAAGTGGTCGCACCTGGCCTGCGCCGAGGCCGCGGGGCTCACCGCGCGCAGGCCCCCTTGCAAACACTTCGCGCGCGGCCGCTGTCAGTTCGCGGAGACATGCTTCTTCGTGCACAGCGTGGCCGAGGGCCCCGACGGAGCCGCCAGCGTGCCCCCGCCACCACCAGCGCCCCGCGCGTGGGGCGGCCGCCGAAAGGTTGTGCGGAAGTTGTCGCGAGCGAGCGTGCTGCGTCGCTTCCTGCTGGACGAGTTCGGCGCGGAGCTGCTGGCCGCCGGCAGCGGCGTGCTCGACGTGGCCGGCGGCAACGGCGAGCTGAGCTTCGAGCTGCTCAACCTGAACGGCGTGCCCGCCACTTGTGTCGACCCGCGTCCGCTCCAGCTGAAGCAGTTCCGCAGGAAGTGGGACCTTCGCCTCTACTGGTGGAACAGCATATGGCGGCCCTGGAACGGCGACGCGCCCGCCGACGGCGAGGCCAGCCGCGCGCCCGGGCACCTGCAGCTCCTGCTCGACGAGGAGCTGGCGAGCTGGGCGGCGGAGGCCGCGGCCCGTGGCCGCTGTGGGCCTGGCGACCCCGCACGCCTGCGCCAGCGGCTGGAGTCCGCCCAGCGGCTGTGCTGGACGCGGCAGGGCCTGCACGAGGGAGGGGAGGCGGCGGAGGACGAGGGCGGCGACTCGGTCCTGGACGCCGGGCGGGACCGGCCGCCCAGCTTCTACCCGCACCACCTGCAAAATCTCAGGCCCGCGGGGGCGCCCCTGCCGGCGGCGCCGCCGGGGGATTCCGCTGAGCGGCCGGCTCTGCCCGAGGGCGCAGCGGAGGACGGCAGCCCAGAGGATCACCGAGCGCGTTCCACGACTCGCAAAGTGCCCACTCGCAATCATCGAAAACGCAGATGCTTGCTCCGATGACGTTTATCGTAGATCCCCTGCGGCGGATCCATGCCATCTGCGAGCAGTTCTTTTGCGAGCAGTGGCACGCGCTCGCCCAGAGGAGGCCACAGACTCGAGCCCCGAGAAGACCAGAGCATCCGCGCCCGTGTCGGCCGAGGAGGCCCTGGAGGTGGCGCGTCTCCTCGCCGGCTGCTCCGCCGTCGTCGGCCTCCACCCGGACCAGGCCGCTGGCGCCATCGTGGAGTTCGCGGTCGGCCAGGGGAAGCCCTTCGCGGTGGTGCCGTGCTGCGTGTACTCCTCGGCCTTCCCCAAGCGGCGGCTGCCGGACGGCACGCCCGTCAGGACGCACGGGCAGCTGGTGGAGTATTTGGTAAGCCTGGCGCCCGGCGCCCAGACGCAGGCGCTGGATTTTGAGGGGAAGAACGTCGTGGTGTATTGGTCTCCGCGGCAGCGACAAATGCCCGCGGTGTCCTCGTCATGATCGGGGGGGGCGAATTCAGTCTGGGGTTGATGCCCCCCCACAGAACGAGGCATCCCCACTCGAACAGTGAGCGCTAGTCCACCCTAGCGTGCGTGCTGCGGCTCGTGCTGTCCATTCTTCCCCAGGCTCCAACCCGGGTTGCTGCCCCCCCCCCCCACCACAGAACGAGACATCCCCACTCGAACAGTGAGCGCCAGTCCACACTCGCGTGCGTGCTGCGGTCCGTGCTGTCCATGTCCTCCCCGGGCTCCATCCCTTGCGGCGGAGGAGGAGGAGGAGGAGGAGGAGGAGGAGGAGGAGGAGGAGGAGGAGGAGGAGGAGGAGGAGGAGGAGGAGGAGGAGGAGGAGGGGGGGAGGACAAGCTAGGTGCTTTCGCGTCATATCTGACGTCCTACCCATCCCTCCCATCCCTTACCGTGGCGTAGATCTCCTTTCTATTTGTACAATCGGATGCCGTAGCATGGCATAGCATTACATGGCATAGCATGGTGTCGAAGATCAACGCGTAGCATGACATAGCATGGCGTGGCGACGCCCCAAAGTGTGGGGGGGGGGCTTCCGCGGCCCCAAAAATCAACGAATCGACACCGAATGTGTAATCATTTCCGATGGTTCATTGGTGGATCCAGTTTCTAAATTTTGGGGCCTATTTGGAAGGACCAAAAACTATGCCGGGGCATGGCGTTGGAAAGAATGACGCCAGCGCTGCAGCGGGAGCACGATTCGGAACGAGCGGAAGCGCGGAAATAAGGCCATCGCTACACCGGGAGCACGATTCGGAACGAGCGGTAGCCCGAAAATGAGGCCATCGCTTCAGCGAGAGCAGCATTTTCAAAACAAACAAGCGAAATCCCAACTCCTGGGAATCCTGTGTGTAAAAAACAAGTATGCGGAGGGGGGCCGGTCATTCCCCGGACGCCACCAGGGGAGAGAGGAGAGCAGTATTTATATGGTGCAATTGTGGGGGAGGAGGAGGACCAGTGGAAATCCAAGAGTCGTCAACGATGTTGGAATAAACCCTTCCTCTAAGCTCCCTCTTCATAGGCCCCTACAACGGTTCATTTCCACTGAGGGAACTGCCTCGTTGGAAGACAACCGTTTGAAGACCCGAAGCATGCCAAGACACTGTTCTCGGGATTCCAACGCCACGGATCAACCTGACTACTGTGTTTTTCACGACCTTGAATCCTGCCAGGACGCCATTCCGGAGACTTCAGCACAGCGAATCAACGTAACTGTTGCACCCTAATTATCCCGAGCCCTTCCAAAAAACATGTTTGGCACGCTGATCATGGGAATCCGAAACGACCCGCCCTCAATCCGTGAAGCTCGTACAAAGTTTGGAAATCAATGTGCGCGACGCTGAAGCGAGAGCCTCATTTTGAAAGCGACCCTCCCTCAAGCCGTGAAACTCTTGCAAATGTTAGAACGAATGTGCGCGGCGCTACGGCGAGAACCACATTAAAACACAGCAGCCCTCAATTCGTGAAACTCTTGCAACATGTTTAAAACGAATGTGCGCGACGCTGAAGCGAGAGCCTCATTTTGATAGCGACCTTCCCTGAAGCCGTGAAACTCTTTACAAATTTCTAAAACGAATGTGCGCGGCGCTAAAGGCGGGACCGACATTTTGAAAACGACCTGCCCTCAATCCGTGAAGCTCTTGCAACATGTTTAACACGAATGTGCGCGGCGTTGAGGCTAGAACCACATTTTGAAGACGACCCGCCCTCAATCCGCGAAACGTGTGTCATGTCGAAAGCTTCAGGTCATAAAATGGTGGGGAAGTCTCAGGCGAAACTCTCGGCCTGCCCCAAAAAACTGGCCTCGGGGTGCGACAGGGAAAAGTTATTTATATGGACAAGGAATGGAGGAAGAGGGGAGGAGGAGGACGAGGAGGAGGAGGCCAACCCTTGACAAGGAGCCTCACTGCAGCAGCGCCTGGCCGCTCAAGCGTTGCCATTGGGGCGTTGAGGGTTTCACGCAGGCGGCGGGCCGGCATGTCCAAAGGGTGCTCGGCTCTGTGCTTCGCCAATTCTTTGGACCGCGATCTCGCTTGATGCGCGCGCTCGGCACGCACATGTCGGTGTTCGGCCACGCGCAGAGGGGGACCCCTGCTTGTTAGGCCCGCGCCTTCTAAGAAGCAGCCTCCTAAGAAGCCTTCCCCCCTCCCCCCACCCCCTTGTGCGCGCCGCCACGGTTTCATTATGGGGAACATTTTTTAGGTCTGAGGGCTCAAACATCGCAGGCTGGGGGCCGACCGAAGAATGATAATCATTTTGAGCTCCTGAGCAATCCTTGCACTTCGGGGTCCAGTCCACGACCCTGCAGGGTATGGCCTTCCCATGCCTTTTGCGTTGCTCTTGGCATCTGCAGCGCGGTTTCCAGGCGACTGCTTCTGGGTGGACAGGCAGGGCAACCCGAGTCTGCGTGCGGGGCCCCGCACCCTCAAGCGCACCCGCTGGGCCACGGTTCGGAGGCGATGACAGGGGCGAGTAGCCCAGGTGCGGGCATTACAGGTATTCGCCCGGGAGCCTCGCCGACTCCTCCTCTTCCTCCTTTTCGTCCTCCTCCTCCTCGTCCTCCTCCTCTTCCTCCTCCTCGTCCTCCTCCCCCTCCTGCTCCTCCTTCTCCTCCTCCTTCTCCTCATCCCCCTCCTCTTCCTCCTCCTCTTTTGCTCGACTCGTCATCCCGTCGATATTCGATCGTCCGTCAGGCATGTGCCATCAGCACTCCTGAGATGCATGTATAGCTCTCCCCTGGGCTATTCGCCCCCCTCGTCGCCCCCAGCTATTTTTTCTTGAGGCCCCGCGCCTCTCCATGGCTCCGCGCCGACCTCTCTGTACCGTAGTGCCCCCGATACTCTGGTGCGGGGATCTGTCCAGAACCCCCGCCTGGAGGATCAATCCTCGGGAATCCCAGCAGGCGGTGAGCATGGATAGATTCGGACCCCATTGGGCAGAGCTTGGGCACCCCCAGCGAGCGAGGAGCCCCACTCCTGTCCTGGTGATCCAGAGGGTCCTGGCTGGTGTTCGGGTTGGGTTTGTTGGGTGCTTGGGGGCACCCTGGATGACCTGGGCGGGAGTGGAGGGTGGGTTGAGCTGTCCTCAAAGGTCCACCGCCCGCGAGGGGTCCCAGGGCACCGGTTCCTCAGGCAGTGGATCTGGATAGGTTTGCGGAAGTCGATTAATGGAGAGGAAGCGTGTTGCCAAATACTTTCCAGATGTCTAAAAGGTGTTTCAAATATGTTTTTTTTTTTTTAAAAAAAAAAAAAAAAAAATGTTTAAAGCGTGCCTGAAATATGTTTAGAGCATGTTTTACACATTTTCAACACGTTTAACTCAACGATGGGATTGTCAGAGTGTCCATGGTCATGGCATTCGCAAGGATAGGTCCCACTTCGCGCGCGCTGCCCCCCCACCGTAAGCGCCGCCTTCGGGCCCAGGCCGCCCCCGCTGCGCGGCGGAGCGCGGAGGCATGCGGCGGCCTCGGCGCGCTCGGCGCCAGCAGCGCGAGGGCGAGCCGGAGGCGGAGGAGCCGCAGGGCGAGCCTGCGCCCAGAGAGGAGGACGACGGCGGCAGCGAGGCGAGCGACGACGACGGCGACGGAGCTCCGCCGAGCTCGAAGAAGAGAAGGCCGCATACGCTTGTGGTTCGTCGGCGGCGAGGCCGAGGCTGCCGCACCCGCGAGCGGGCCGAAGGGGGGCGCCGTGGTGGCGGATTGGCCAGCATGCGCGGGCGGAAAGCAGGGCAGGGCGGGCGGCCGCAGAGGGGAGGGGGGGGGCGAGGGGCCACTTCGGGGGCGGACGGGTCTCATCCCTGTGCGAGCGGGCGCGGCCAGCCCCGCCGGCGCGGACCGTGGCAGCTAAAGCTGCACAGAGGTGCGCTTTCGGAGCTCCGCGCTGATTTCTCGGATCGGATCGGCGGCGCTTGCCAGCAGGGAGGGGGTGCCAGCGCCGACCCACGATTTCCACGCGGAGCTCCGAGTGTTATGTTTACGGTCGGTGAGCGTCGTGTCGGTTGGCGGCGACCTTGCTGCCTGTGTTTAACGTTGAACGCCGCCAGTGACCCAGAATCGTGTTCAACCATCTGACGTTTCGGAAACGGCCGATCGTTCAAGGTTGAATGATCCCCACGGTGTTAGGAAACGACGTCGAAGTCGGCACGACACGAATCTACGGTATGCAGTTGTCTCCTCTTCCACGAGCGTCGCCAAGTGGTTTGACGACGCGGAAGAGGAGTACACCGCCTTCGAGTCCTTCCACACGCTGCACGTCAGCGAGGACCACGGGCGCGTCCTGATGCAGGTGCGGAAGGACCGGCTGGGCACCGGGTTCTTCAACCAGCTCACGCTCATCGGCGCCGAGGGGAGTCTGCCCGACATGGTCGACTGCACCCCCAGCGCGGCGGGGCTGCAGCTGGCCGCGGCACCGAACGGCCGCGACGTGCACCTGCTGCGGATGCAGCAGGCGCCGCTCAAGCCACGGGGGGCTCGCATGCCCTCGCAGTGTCGTCTTCGGGGTGCACGAGCTTTGATTAGCGTCTGGAGATCGATGAGATCGCGCCGGTTTAGCGTCAATGTTGCGTCGCTGTGCGTCGATGGTGTGAGAGGCTCCCTTGAGCTGCCGCAGCAGGTGCTGGGGCCCACTGACCTGGCCTCGTCGCTGTACGACCCGAGGACCAATGATTCAAGCATGGGGCCCCGAGGGATGGGGGTCCTCAGGACTGGGTGGGTTGGGGCCGTCCTCGCTCGTCCCCCATCCAGCGCGCTGGCACGCCATGGTTCTAAGTTTCGTGGCAGGGCCCTTCGGACAAGTTGCCGCTCACGAAGCGTACAGCTTGCGGCAGATCCTTGGATGGGCAGCTCGTGGACGTGGGTAGGCCCACCTGAGAGGTGGAACGAAGATCGCGTCGGCCCTCATATGCATTGCACCACATTGTTTGAGGCACCTTGTCCTTCCGCTCCTTGTCCTTCCCTTTTTTCCTCGTCTTCCTTCACGTTCTCGCTGTCCTCCTGCTGTTGGGGTCTCTTGGCTGGTCCCTGGGAGAACGGTGGCCGCCTGTCCACCAGGCCAAGCTGGTGATCACATGTCTCACCGTGCGGCTCTTCTTGGCTGTAGCGAGATTTGCAGCGATCGAGGGAGAGAAGTCATCGCTGGGGTCGTATCTTGCCGTGGAAAGAACATCATTGTTTGAGGCACCTCGTCCTCAGGACCCCAGGGGGGGAATTGAAAACACACAGACATAATTCGACGTCGACTTTCAGGAAAATGTGTGAGCATATGGGAGGTGGGGGAAGACGGAAATCAAGAACATGTGAACACACACACACACACATGCCTCGGGGGCGCAAACCAGAGTTGCCCTAGACCGCAGCTATCCCGGCGAAATTCGAAAACTGGAACACATACATTATCAGTGGCGGGCTGTTTCTTGAATCCCAGGACTTTTGAGGGTCGGGGACGACGCTGGGGTGGTGTGGTGTATATATTTTTCCCCGATGTCACGGGGAAACAGCGAAAAATGTATACACCAGGATCCCGTATACATCAGAAACCGCGTTCTTGTGCGAATTTCAGCGCAGGGGCGGGAAAAGCGTCGGTGTACAGAGTTCGCTTCCCTATAAATCGGGCGTCCAAGTCCGTAAGGACCCCATCTTCGAGCCACCGCAAGGACTGGCGGCGCGCTGCCCGGGTTCCTGCACGTATTCCGCCCCCTGGCCGACGACGCCCTCGCCGCGGCGGCGCGCCAGAAGCGGCGGCAGGAGGGCCCGGCGCCGCCAGAGGCGCCGACGGAGCCAGCAGAGCACCCCGAGGAGGGGGGACCGGGGGAAAGGAGGGAGAGGAGAGGAGGGCAGAGAGGGGAGAGAGGGGGAAGAGTGGGGGAGGAGAGGAAGGGAGGATTTTGTTTTGGAGTGCGCTCTGATTCGCCGAGGAGGCGGTCAGCTTATGAAGGGAGGAGGGGGAGGGAGGGGGAAGGGGCGGGGTGGAGAGGAAGGGGAAGAGGACTGAGACGGGGACGGTGAGGAGGAGAAGGAGGAGGAGGGCCCCCTCCCGGCGGGTTATCGGGTTACCACAGGAGGGCCCCGCGCCGCCGGAGGCGCCGAAGGAGCCCTCAAATAAGCGCCCTGAGAGGGGCCCGGCGCAGCCGGAGGAGGGGCCAGCTGAGGCGGAGCCGCCCGAGGGGCCGGCGCGGCCGGGACAGGCTGGCCACGCGCAGAGAGGGGAAGAGGGAGGGGGGAAGGCTTCTTAGAAGCACCCCTGCTTCTTAGAGGGCGCGGGCCTTGTCTATGGATGAACCTTCTTCTAGGGAGCCTTCCCCCCTCCCCCTACCCCCTTTGTGCGCACGGCCAAACAGGACCATGACCCACCGGACGAGCAGGCGGGCGCAGGCGGCGGGAGGCGGGCGAGGGGGAGGAGAGAGAAGGTCGAAGAAGAAAAAGCGCAGTAAACATACAAAGTTGGCGCTCCGCGCGGATTTCTTGGATCTGCGCCAGGACCCCCCGGCAGTGCCTCCTGCGCCGCCCGTGGCGCGCTCCGCGCGCCAGGGAGAGGGGTCCAGCGCAGGTCCAAGAAATCCGCGCGGAGCGCCACGAGTCTATACTTATGGCGTTTTTTCTTCTTCCAGAAGACGAGGAGGCGGAAGAAACGGGATCCGCCGCCGCCGCCGGAGGGGGAGGAGGCGGTGCTGATAGACATCACGGGCTGGCTCGCGAGTTTCGCGTCGCCCGCGCTGGCGGCCGGGGAGGATGCTGCGCCCATGGGCCACCGCAGACCGCCGTCGATGGACAGCGACGCGCACTTGGTAGAGGCGCGGGCATTCCCGCAGAACTTCTGGCTGCGATATGTGGCCAAGTCGCCAGGCGACGGCGGTGCATCGGATCAGGGACAGCCTGCGGTGTACTACAATGTCGCCTTTTGCTGCCTGCCCGTGGTGCCGATGGTTCCGCGCGCCAAGGACCGTCGGGTGGGCTTCTTCGAGACGCGTGTCAGCATCGGCGGTGAGGTCAGGGTGAACGAGGACTGCAGCGTCATCAACCGCTGGAACTTGGAACGGCAGGGTGGGCACATCAACTACTACGTGGACCCCGCGGTTCCGAAGATCTACCACGAGACCATCAGGCAGGGTGTGGAAAGCTGGAACACGGCCTTCTCTGCCGCGGCGTGTGGCGAAGGCGTTCTCCGCTGCCATCTGCCCGGGGAAGACGGCTTCCCCGAAGACTACAGCCGCGGCGACGCTAGGTACAACTCGATCTACATGACCGACTCGCTGCTCCCGGTGTATGGATTCGGGCCCTCGTTGCGAGACTTTCGGACAGGTGAGCTCCTCGTGGCCCACGTCCTCCTGGGCTTCTCTGCCTTCGTCGAAGGGGTCTCGCGCCACAGCGCCGAGGCACTGGCGGAGCACTTCGTTCGGCCGACGTGCGGATGCCGGGCCCCCCTGCTGGACGCCAACCACCCTCACGTGCTCAAGAGGATCTTGTCCACGGTCGTGCACGAGGTGGGGCACACGCTCGGCCTGCGCCACAACTTCCTTGCCCCCGAGGACGGCAACACCAGCGTGATGGCCTATCAGGACGACCTGGACACGTCGGGCGACCCGCGGCAGCCGGTGTGCGGGGGGCTGATGCTGGAGGCTCCTGGGGCATACGACGTGTTCGCCATCAAGTACGGGTACACGCCCTTGGCTGGGGAGGAGACTGGTCAGCGCCACCCGTGCCTGGACCTGCTGGCGAACGGCCAGGAGGTCACCGACGGGGCACTTGCGAACGTGCCGCGCAACCCGCTGTTCGCCTCTGACGAGGACTGCGGAGGAGAGGACCCCCGCGTGAACTGCTGGAACGCGTCCGTGCATCGCTGCGGCTACGACAAGCTGCAGTACGCGCTGCACCAGCGCGGCGAGCTGCTCGAGCTGGCCCGCGCGGGGGCCATCTTTCCCGAGACCTTCGCCGAGCGGCTGCGCATGTCTTACTCCGTGGTGCAGCGCCACGTGCACGACGCGCTGAGGCTGATCGGCGGCAGCTTCCTGGACGCCGGCCGCAGGAAGTTCAGCCGGTGCCCTGGCGCGGACGCGCTCGAGGCGCTGCGTGCGGTGGTGGACTTCTGCGTCGGGCCGTTGGCGAGGCTGGGCGAGGACGAGGCTGGGCGCATGATGCGGGCCTTTCCCGGCGAGGGCTATGGCGTCAGCAGGTTCTACCTGCTCGCGTCCCACCGATCGAACGTGCATCGCCTGCTGCGCAGTGCGCTGGGGGCCTCCCGGCTGGAGAGGCTGGAGATGCAGCGGGCCGCCTGGCAGGAGGGGGCGGAGCCTGGATCCTCGGGCGCGCCACTCGCGACGCTCGACGTACTCTGCGCGGTCGCTTTCCAACCCGGCAGGTTCGCCGAGGGCCTGCTGCACCCCTTCTCCGCCAGGGAGTCCGAGGCGTGGGTCGCCCCCGCGGGCCGCGCCATCAGCGAGGCCGCGGCAGACGCCGTGCGGGCCGAGGCCGCCCTGGCCCTTGCGAGGCAGGTCAACGGCCTGGCCCACGAGGAGAGGGCCCTCGCGGCCGTCCGCGCCGGCGCCAAGGCCTTCATCCACGAGGCGGCCCTGGCGCTGAAGCCCGCGGGGGAGGCCGTCGGCCTCACCCCCGCGGCCAGGGCGCACTGGGCCGCCGTCGTGGAGCAGCTGAACGCGCCCCCGGACAGGCGCGCTCTGGGCGACGGCGCCGCGCCATTCATGATGCTGCTCGGGCAGGAGCCACCCTGTGCCCCCTCAGCGCTGACTCTCCCTTTCTAGCGAGCCCGGCCCGAGAACGGTTCTGGCCATCCCCGCACTGTCTGTGCCAGCCTCAAAGAGGAACGTTCCAGAACAGTTGTAACAATCGTCGGGCATGTTTCTGTGAGCATGTCTTGCCTAGTTCATATTCTCTCTTGACTCGTTGCATGACTTCTTCCATCGGGCGGAGGAAGACATGCTCGACCGAATGCCAGTCCTTCTCGACCGCCTTGGGGTCAGCGTTGAGTGTGTCTTGCGAAGGAGCCCGACCTCGGCGAAGAGGCGCCCGGCCCGTGGCAGCCCATCTGCCCGGGCCACGGCGCCTGTGGCGGCTGCGGCCGCGGCTGGGGTCCGCCGCTGCACCTGCGGCCAGTGCGGAGGAGCTCGGGTGGCATCCGCTGCTGCTGGCTCGTGCCGCCTCGGCGACGACGCTGGCATAGGGCTCGTTTCGATTCCTCCGGCTTGATTCGATTCCGTTCCGATGGCCTCCGATTCCGATTCGATTCGACTTCGGATTCCGATTTGGGGTCCGATCCCTTACTGGAGGCATACTAGTCTGCCGATTTCGCCGATTCAACTTCTCCCGACTCGGCTGCCGATTTCCGCCGATCCGATTCATTTCGGTCGCCGATCCAATTTATCGATTCGATTCTGGGCTCTCCTGCCTGCGCGGGCGCCTATGGTTAAAATTCCGTCGGGGGCCTTGTCTCGGGTCATGGCCCAAGGGCCAAGGCAGCGCAGCACAACTCACGGGGGCGACATCCATACGAGAGATGGTGGGGTCGAGAGCCCCTGGCGACCTCCGATCAAGCGGCCTGTTCAAGGTTGCGCGGGCAGGCACATGCTATACACCCATCAGACATCTCAGGAAAAGGCAGCAACTTCCATGGACTCCAGACCTCGTTGAAGAAAATCGAGACTGCACCCTTTGCGTGTTTGTGCAGTCCTCTGTCGTATCATGTTCGTACATCGGGACCTGGACTACTGTTCAAGAAAACGCTCGGGGCGGAGTCCGTTCTCGTAGCCGAAAATGTTCCGAAGTCTGAGCGGTGGGTGCACCGCCTGCACCGATCCTGGTCCCTCGGGTTGGCAGGCTCGCGATCCCGACAGGGCCAGCCGGGAGGGCCGAGCGCGGAGCACCCAGTGGGCTCAGCGAGTCATGGTGCCGGGATAGCTCGCGCCCTCCCACGTCCAGTGCCACAGGCAGAGATGGGCCGATCTTCCACCACCACCACTACCGTAGGTAGGAGAGAGGAGGAGGAGGAGGAGGAGGAGGAGGAGGAGGAGGAGGAGGAGGAGGAGGAGGAGGAGGATCATGGTGCCGGAATAGGTCGCGCCCTCCCACATTCAATGCCACAGGTAAAGATGGGCCGATCTTCCACCAGCACCACCACTACCATAGGTAGGAGAGGGTGGAGGAGGAGGAGGAGGAGGAGGAGGAGGAGGAGGAGGAGGAGGAGGACGAGGAGGACGAGGAGGAGGAGGAGGAGGAGGAGGAGGAGCGGACTGACTGACTGACTGACTGACTAGCTCTGGGAAGCCAACAATCTCCAGCGACACGCTCGTGATAGTAAAAAGTTGAGGCATCAATCGGAGACTGCTCGAGGTTTCTGAGATGGTTCCCTCCGAAACCCTCTGACACATGCAATTGAGATGTGGCCGAGCTGCCCACTGACAGAGCAGCACTGGCCAGGCCCGCACCCGCATGGGCACGCAGCCCAACATGGGGCGGGCACTCACGGCGCGGGCCCCCATCTTCACTTCTCCCCCGTCCTACATATGGTAGCGGTGGTGGAAAATTGGTCCATCAGGTAAGAACCTCCCCTCCCAGCGAGAGCTCGCGCACATCTCCAGCTCTTGACGTCGAGGGACACCTCGGACAGCATACACGTATGCTCGAAGCGGTGCCCCAAGCTGTCTGAGGCGACGCGCCATTCCCTCAAGAAAAGGCTCCCCGGGAAAACTACCTCCTGGGGAGAAGTTTTCCCTCCAAAGCCCTCTTGGCGAGGGGTTATCAAACTTCGCCCTCGGGGCAGGATGTCCACGAGGGGGCCCCTGCGAGGAAGGGTCACCCCCTCAATCCAGCTCGCACTCAGGGCGTGTTTTCGAGTGGAAGCCGTCTTGAAAAAAGGCCCACCCTTCAGGGGAGGCCAAACGTGCCTCAGAGCAGACGTACCCTGTGAGAGAGGGGCCCCCTTTCGAGACGCCGGGAGCGAGGCTGGGCTGCGGTGCACATCGTGGCTGGAGCAGTGGCCACTGCGATGCTTCACTGGGGGGGGGGGTACGTCGCCCTGGGGGAACGCGTGCGCCCTCCCACACCCCCTCTTCCGGAGTGGCGTCTGGGAGAACCGCCCGGTTATTCCCACTCCTATGGGAGGCGAAACTCCGCATGGGCGCCGGCACTTCCCAGACTCCTCCTCCTCCTCCTCCTCCTCCTCCTCCTCCTCCTCCTCCTCCTCCTCCTCCTCCTCCTCCTCCTCCTCCGGCTCTCTCTGGGCCGTTATACATGGGTCCACCAGGCTCGGTGGCCCCTCTGTCAGGCCGAAGAGTCTGCAACAGTTCCCACGACAACCCCCATGAGTTGCCTCCAACGTTCGGCGGCGAGCGAGGGGGGGAAGTGAGAAGGGGCGGGACTTCTCAGATTTGCAGGCTCGGAAGCCCCCGCGCCGTCTGAGAAATTCTCGGGGCCTTCCCCGAAGACAGACAAAAACTTCCCAGAAGTCCCGCCGCCTTCTGGAACAAAGGCCTTCTCCTCCTCGCGTTTCCCCCGCCCCCCCCCCCCCCTCGCTCGCCGCCGACACGTCCCCAGCCTGCCACGCGCCGCAGAGGAGACGCACCGTGGACCCCGGCGGCCGCGGCCTGCGCGCTGCGCCGCGGCAGTGGGCGGCGCGGTCCCGGCTGTAGCGGCTGGCGCGTCACCGGCCGCCCGCGGCGCTTGCCTTTCAGGAGGGGGAAAACACACACAGACGCAATTCCTCGTCGACTCCCACGGAAAGAGGGGGAAAGATGGGAAGTGCGGGGGGGGGGGGGGCAGCTGAAGGCCCAGAAGAGGTGCGGGAATACGGGGAATCCTGGAATCTTGTGTGTATTTCGAAGTGTGCCCCTGGGCGCCTCCACGCCCAGTCATGCCCATCTTGCGGCACTGTCAGCCCACCTTGCGGCCCTCGCTGGGCCCTCCTTCTCCGATTTCTCGTGCCCTTTATCCCTTGCCCGTCCTCCACCTACCTCCACCTCCACCTCCTCCTCCTCCTCCTCCTCCTCCTCCTCCTCCTTCGCCCTCCCTTCTGCGCAAGAGCCACGGCACGCGCGCCACGCGTTTGCGTGTCCCTGGGCGCCTGTGGCCTCGCGCGGGGGTTCGGCGGGCGAGGGCCGGCGAGACCCGTCGAGGGCCCGACGGCGCGCCCCCCGAGCGACGCCGCGCTGCCGACGCCGCCGCCGCCGCCGCCAGCGACGGCGGCGGCAGCCTGCGACGCCGACGACGCCGACGACGACGCGGACCAGCGCCGACGATGCCGACGACGCCGACGACGCCGAAGATGGAGCCGGCTGCGGCGACGACGACTCAGCCACGCTGGAGGCCCAGAGCGTGCCAGGCCCGCGAGGTGCGCCACGTGCTCGACGTGCGCCGGGTGTGCCGCGCGCTCCAGCCGCGCCAGGTGCGCCACGTGCGAGGCGCGCGCAGAGTGTCGGCCACGCGCAGAGGGGGGTGGGGGGAGGGGGGGGGCTTCTTAGAAGCACCCCTGCTTCTCAGAAGGCGCGGGCCTCGTCTGTAGATGTAAGGCCGGCGCCTTCTAAGAAGCAGCCTCCTTCTAAGAAGCCCTCCTCCCTCCCTCCACCTTGTCACAAGAGCTTCGTGCGCACCGCCAAACGACGACGGCGGCTGTGGCGGCGATCTCGCGGCGTCTTGCGGCGCCGGCCCGGCCCCCGTCGCTGAGATGTTTCCACCCCTGCCCCCGGGCGTCGCGGAGGAGGCGCGCGGCAGGCGTCATTGTGGTTGCCGCTGCGGCCTCGGGGGGGGGGGGGGCGACTTCGGGATGCTGGGCAGTCAAAAAGCGGCCCGCGAGATCCTGGGGATAGGGTCGGAAGCAGAGGGGCTCACGTCGCGAACGGAGTGACGACAGCCGTGGCCTGGAGCTTTCGTTTGTCGCCGAAGCCCCTTGCGCACCCCGCCTTCCTTTTCCTGCTCTCGTCCACACCTCTGCTCCTCCTCCTGGCACTGATGCTCCTGGGCTGGCTGTGGTGAAGAGTGAAGGGGCGGAGAGGGCAGGGACGAAACCGAGGGGCTCCGAAGACGGGCTTCTCTTCTCCCGTTCCGTGACTGCCACCCGCCAGGCCGCTCGAAATGATTGCCCTGCCTCTGTTCCTGTCGGTTTTTTCTTTTCAAGAAATTTCAGAGGCAGCAGCGTGGAATGGCGATTCCCCGCTGAGCGTCCCAACGGAGCACCGCAGGCCTCGCCAAAAGTCTGCTTACAGCAACGAGGGACAATATTCGTGTAGTGGACGTTTGTATGATGACGGTGGAGACTGCGAATACGACGATGATGATGTTGTTGATGATGATGGTGGTGGTGGTGATGGTGATGTTGATGGTGATGATGATGATGCTGCTGCTGATGATGATGATGATTATGATGATGCTGCTGTTGATGATGATGGTGGTGGTGGTGATGCTGATGATGCTGCTGACAACGATTATGGTGATGATGACGATGCTGACGAAGATGATGATTATGATGATGATGATGCTGATGATGATGATGATGATGACGACGACGACGACGACGACGATGATGATGATGATGATGATGATGATGATGATGATAAGTATGCTGCTGTTGTGGATGATGGCGGTAACGAGGGAAGTTATGACACTCGCGATAATGGTGTTGCTATTGATGCTGACACTGGTGCTGCTGGTGCTGTTATGTCTGACAATGGTGCTCTTTGTGATAGTGTTGCTGCTGATGATGATGCTGATGCTGATGCCGATGATGATGATGATGATGATGATGATGATGATGATAATGCAGATGATGATGACGATGATGATGATGATGCTGATGATGATGATGAGGAGGAGGAGGAAGCTGTTGATGATGGTGGTGATGATGATGGTGGTGATTCTGAAGATAGGAATGGCGTCGTTGGTGCAGATGGGGGCGACTATGACAGTGGTGGTGGTGATGACTGTGATGGTGATGGTGACAGCGATTGGGGCTTATCATGATGAAGACGATGGCGAATATTTTTGCGATAGTGCATCTCCCGATCTGATCCTGGCATGTCCAAGCATTGCCCCATCTGTCCCGCCACAACGAGGCGCCAGCTGCAGGCATCAGGAGGGCCCCAAGAAAGCCCAGAGTGCAAATGTGCTGCCTGGTTGCGATTCTGCGTGCGGTTGCAGGCGCCCGCGACCCAGAATACGTTGCCCAGTTGCGGATCTGGTTACGGGTGCGGTTACGGGTGCCTGCGGCCCAGAGTGTGCTGCCCAGTTGCGGATGTGGGTGCGGATGCAGGTGCGGTTGTTGTCGCTTGTGACCCAACGTGTTTTGCCCAGTTGCGGGTCTGGGTCCGAGTGCGGTTGTGGGCGCCTTCGGCCAATCACGTGGTTTGTTACAGAAGCGGTTGCGGGTGCCAGCGACCCATAATTTGTTGCCCATTGCGGATGCGAGAGGCGTTGCCCACGGTCCAAAGTGTGTTGCCCGAGTGCGGGTGCGTTTGTTATTGCGGGCTCGGTTGCGGCTGCGGGCGGTCCAAAATGTGTTGCCCGAGCCCGTTGACGTTGGTCAGGCTAGCAGCCAGTTAACCAGCCAGTCAGTCGGCGGGCGCGGAACATCATCTAGCTCCGTTGGGAAGCATACCATATAAGATCCCAAGAGGTCCTCATGGCCTCAGATGGGCCTTGTCGGATTCTCATGGGTTCCCACGGATTCCCATGGCATCTACTCGCATACGGCAGAGGGAAACCTGTGAGTAAAATAAAGGACATCCATGGGCAAACAGAGAGGGACGAGGTACAAACCCATTACAGCAGGACCACGAATTGCGACTACCATGGTCATGTTGTCAGGCCCGTGTGCTTCCGCTGCTTGCTTGCACAAGGTCGTCGCTGTCGTTATACATTCCGCCTCTCCGCCGCCTCCGCGCAGGCCCCACTCCGCCAGCGGAAGCTGCAGCCGCAGCCGCTGCGCCCCAGAGGCCCCGCATCCGCCCCAGCCGGGCACCCAATCGGCCACCGGCGGCCTGCCCTGGCGCTCTCGACACCCTCGGGGCGTTGCGAGCCCAGAGCCACCCTCCCGTCCGCCGCCTCCCCGTCCTGCTGCTCTGCTCCTCCTCAGGAGGGTGGGCAGTTTCACCGCGGCGGTGGCTCGCTTCAGCTGTTCGTCGAGCCGCTGCTGGGCCCCACGCAGCCCCGTACCAGGTGCGCCTGGTCCCGTGCGGTGTCGTGCTTCCCTTCCTCTCCGGGGCCCCTCCCCCGGGAGGGCGCCCTCTGCTCCAGGAGTGCGGCGGGGCCGGGGCTTCGCGGGGGGACCCAGCCGTGGCGGCAGAATGCCTCCAAGAGGTGCCTGTTGGAAAGCGAGGTGGGCCTCGAACCTGGAGGGGGCGGATCCCCCACGCCTTCTCCGCCGACCTGGAGGCGTGGAGCGTTCGACGCGCGGTTCCCCTCGCGCCTCTCTTGAGGGTGAGGAGTGTCCCCAGCCGACGCTCCGCGAGATCGCGAGAAGGACGTCCCCGAGTTCGAGGCGGAGGGTAAATGTGTGTGGGGGGAGAGCAGAGGGCGACGAAAGGCGCACCGTTCCGGCGCCATTGTGGGGGCCGCGGTGCCAGGTTGGGGGGCTCCTTTGACGTCCCCTTTCCCGTAACCCTCGATCCCCCCCGACCCCACCCCCCCACACGACGTATTCATTGAAGAAAAAATCACCCTGATCCCCCATCATTAGCCTGTGCGACGCAGTCCTGAGCGTTTACTAAAAAGAGTCCTGCCCTCTTCGATTCCTGCCGTAGGCGCGTTTGCTAATGGGCCTCGCTTGCATGGGATGTTTCTTGTGAAAGTGGTCATTCTGCCCTCTGTTTCTGGACCTCCTGTGAACCTCCCATTTTCCGACCCCGCGCCCAGCCCCGGCTCGCCTTCGACGTCTTGGCCCAAGCGGGCGTGCTGGTTAAGTTTGCACCTCCTCTGCGGAGGCTACTGCCTTCACGCCATGCCCCGATGGGTACGGGCGGGCTCCACAGCGGAGCGCGCACGACTGGCGCTCGTCTCGCTTCGTTTCGCCCCCCGTTAAGATCCAACCGACCAAGCAGACCCGCCAGGACCCAAGCGGGCCCACAGGACTTGGGTAAATCGCTCCAGAGCGTCGCCATGGGGGACACGGGTCCTCAGGGAAACTGGCCATGATGTTTTCGCAGTTTTCGAGCTACCGGGGCCCTCCACGGGCCCCGGGGCTGTCAGAAAATCACTCAGGATGAGGATTTCGTCGGAGAAGGCACCAGGGTCCAAGACGCGTTGCCCTCAGGACCCGTTTCCCCGACATGCTGAGCCCCGGAACGCTCTGCTCCCAGAGCGTTCTGAAGCGTTCTGGGGCCGCCGCGGCGCCCGATGCGTCTTCGAAAACCGCCAGGTCTCGGAGATCCCCGATCTGTCCTGGCCCGATCTTGCCCCACCCCTGGCTTCTCACCCAGACCCATCGTGATTTTTTCGCCACGTCGACCCCCCGAGGTCTGGACCCCTTCCCCAGGACAAGCTTTCCATCCTGAGCCGTTTTTTGACGGTCCCGAGGCCCGGTAAGGGCACCCAGAGGCTAGGAGGAGGAGGAGGAGGAGGAGGAGGAGGAGGAGGAGGAGTAGGAGGAAGAAGAGGAGGAGGAAGACGACGAGGACGACGACGACGACGAGGACGACAAGGA